AAAAAAAAAATTGGATATTTGATGGCTGCAGTGAGCGGTATGGGCCCAGTTGGGTTCTACTTTATAGTATGCTCTTTTTACCCAATGGGGTTTAGGCCTAAAGTCAGACTTGAGTTCATGTAGAGGCATGTGTCAGCTGTGATAACTATTGGAGAGACTTAGACTAATTAAGATCACTGACAGATCATTTGGGGAGGGGTGAGGCACGGAGGGCAATCGGGGATGACAGGGACAATGTGGGAGGAGGATGGGTCATAACAGAGGGAGGGGGATGGGGAATCTAGGATGGTAAAACAAAAGGCAAGGTATGCAGGACACAAGAATTGGGAAATTATTTGCTGAGAACATATATGTTGACGTGCTTGATTGAGCCAACGCACAGTATATATTGGATGGAAAATTCATTTGTGTGTTGCGATGGGAAAAAAAAAATTATAATAAAAAATAAACTATAAAAAAAAAAGAAGAGGATAGAGAAAGATAGCAAGTGAACAATAGAGGGGATGTTAGTGAGAAACAGATATGGTTTATTATCTGTTGAAGATGACGTGTATAGTATTCTCAACTGGACTGGTCTGGGAAGTATTTCATGATGGGTGAAGTCTTTTAACAAGCAAAATGAGAAATAGTGATTGACTGTTTTAAAAAATTATAATAATAATAATTATTGGGAAATGCATGGAAAAGACTTTGAATGATAAAGCGGGGAGATCGATGCCTCTGTATTGACTGACATGCATGGCATTCCCTTTTGAAAAAGCAATGGAAGTCAATGTAAAGTTATATGTAATCCAATGTAATATAAAGAAGATTATGATAATAAAAAAATATATATTTGTCATTAATTTTAATATGGATAGTATGAAAATTTTCCAAATCTTTAAGTTCTATTTTCTGTTTTTCTTTCCTTTGTTGTTGTTGTTATTTTCAGAAGATGTGCACTTGCATCAGACAGAGAGAAAGAATCAACTCCCCCTCAGTGAGGACTGGTCATACCGCAGTCATTTTTCTTTCCATTTCTCCCTCCTATCAAGACTCTGCGAATATGCATACACGTGTCCAATGTGTTTTTACAAGCCTCCAGGTCTGGAACTCAAACCACTCTTGACCATGTGGGATCTGGTTCCCTATGCACTGCACTGAACACTGGACCAGTTCTCTCTTTCCTTTAATTATTATTTATTTATCATTTGAGGGTGTATACACTCACCAAAGAGAGCCAGAGAGGAGGGGAGAGGAGAAAGCACCCCTATGGGGAATGGTCACTCCATAATCCTTTCCCCTCTAACTCTCTGTCCCCTCAAGATTTGGGGCATGCACACACATGAGCCCAGCATGTTTCAAGCTACCACATCCAGGACTCAAATGATTTGGTCGGCCATGTGGGATCCAGCTTCCTTAACCACAGGCCATAGAGCCAGCCCTCTCCAGTTTTTTATTCAAAGCTTTACCTTTAAATTATGTCTTTTTCTTACATTTTACTATAAAGAGTCAAGAGGAATTACGACATGTCTTTAAAACTTCTCTAAGAAATTTCCTTAGCTAAACATTCAATTTCGTGGCTTGCAAATTTTGCCTTCCACAAAACCCTAGGATACTCACAGCATTCAGCCAAGTTAAAATTACCTTGCCTTCATTGTCTAATAATATGTTTCTTCTTTCTGAATGAGAAATGGTTGAAAATCACCTTACAGTCCTTATTCCTACCAACAGTCTGTTCAAGATTACTTGGATATTGTCTAAGTTTGAACTTTTCTCTACAGCTTTTCTCTCTTTCTGAGTCCTTACCGGAAGTACCTTTAACAGTCTTGTTATAAAAATGTAGGCTTTCTCTATAATGCACTTCAAAATTCTTCTAAACACTACCTGTTATTCAGTTCAAATATGGTTTCCATAGTTTTAGGTATTTTTTACAACAGTATCTTCTTCTCAGCACCAGTTTTTTTGTCCTGGCCAATTTGGGTCGCTATAACAAACTAGCATAAACTGGGTAACTTGCTTAATAGAAATATTTTTTGTCACAGATTTAGAGACTGGAACATCTGAGATCAAGGCACTGGTATGTTTGGTGTCTAATGCAGGCCATTTCCTTATTAATAGATGACAATCTTCTCAAATATATCCTCACATGACTGAAGAGATGAGGGATTTCACTGGAGTTTCTTTAATAAGGACACTAATCTCATTCATGAGAGCTCTGACTTGATTATCTAATACTTTCCTAAACACTATCATCATAAGGATTAAGATTTTGACATAGAAATATTGGAGGAACATGTTCAGTCTATAGTATTTATTGCACAAACAGCATTGTGAATGTCATAATAAAAAGATGTGTTCAGGAGGCCAGAAGACTGCATAGTGGTTAAGGTGCTAGACTACCATGTAGCTGACCACATGTTGGCTTCTGTCTCAGACCCGGAGGCTTGAAAATCACACTGGATGCATATGCACGCATGCCCAAAATCCCAGGAAGAGAATAGAGAAGGGGTTGCAACATGATCATCACCCTGGAGATTGTTTTCTCACTTTCCCTCTCACTGTCTCTTTCTGTATCTCTAAGGCAAACACATATGCCCTATGACAACATTTTTTTTTTACCTGTAACTGTCATGTTTCTGAATATTTCAACAGAGAAACACAAAATATACTTTCCTTGTTGTCATTCATATCATGAAAGTAAAATAATAGCTAAGTACTTGGAACTTTGGTTTTAAATGTGATTATTACCTTCAGAAATAACTGGTTTAAAATGGACCAGAGTATTACTGAAATGGGCAACAGATACACTTCTGTTCCCAAAGACCATCTCTAAGGAAAAATTGCTTTTCCTTTGTGGCATTCAGCCTTAGAGAAAAGACTTCATCATCTTGTACGTAATGTGGCTTTCTGGGCTGCTGATGTCTTCATAAAATTTGACTGGAACTTCCTTCTCTTGAAAATGAATGGGCATTTTCTTGCTCTCCACACTCATAAGTTTCACTTTCAGAGGGCCTAAGTTTACATAATCCTTGAAATCCTGCTCATCCTCATATAGCAAGTATTTCATATCAGAGACTCCAAACTCTACACTCAAGCTCTCCGCTTTGTCCAATTTCAGGTGCTGGATGTCTCCAGTGCTGTCTTCCTGACTAAGGTCTAAGGCACTGCTCTGAAATGATCCACTCATCATGTCACTACTTTCTTTGCCTATGAGTTGGGGATAAATACAAAGAAAGTAATTATGTATGCATTTTCAACAGATAAAAATGCAATCTATACTTGGTTGTATTTTTAATTTGAAGCAGCATTCTGAGTGGCCCATGCCTTCCTTTGGTCCAGCTGCAACAAAGTTTCTCTATTTATTTTCTTTCTGGCATCTTCCAGAGTGATTTTATAATGTTCTGACATTTTTTTTGCGTTCTCTTTAACTGTATTGATGTCATTCTGTAAGGAGGTAATGAGTTTAGCATGTTGTTCACTCCCTACATTCTTATAGTCTTCCCAATATTCCTTTTCACTAAGCTTCTCAAGAAATAGCTTTTCAGCACTAGTTATTTTCATGCGCATGTCTTTCAAATTTTGTTCCTGGTCTCTTTCGTACTTCCATTTTTCCTTCATTGCTTCTTCTACATCCTCTCTTGTTACAACTGGTAATCCTTCTGTTTTCTCTTCACTCAGTTCCTTAAGCAGGTTCCGTATGTGCCAATTTTGCTCCTCCTTTAAGCGCCTATTTAATAGTCGAGAAGTGCTTCACTGGTAGGCATTTTGACTTCTTTTGGCAGTCCATCTTGCACATCCTTTTTATTTGCTTTCCCTGAGTTTTCCATTTTGTTGGTTAACTATTAAGAAATATACCTTTAAGAAGCTGCAGTGAATATGGAGAGAATCTACCAGGATCAGTTCTTGAAGGTGGCTCACACTCCAGGCCCTCGGCTGCACAAGCCCACCGGCTCCTCGACAACATTTTTTTTTTAATGAAAAGAAAAGAAATGTGAGGACCTCCAGATGACATAATGGTTAAGTCACTAGACTCCCACATGGTTCAAGTCCAAGACCCAACAACTTAAAATCTCACACCAGGGATATCAGTTCAAGGGAAGGGCATTTCTGGATGCTGCAGGGCCTAACATCTGGGATGCATGGCTCATCACCTCCCACACATGCCCTTGGACTGCAGGTTTGTGTCTTGGAACTTCAAGAACTTGTGCCCCTCCCTGCCCCATCTGGATACCAGTTAAAACAAAGGGCTTTGCCCCTACTGGACACCAGGCTGCCTGCACTGCAGGACCTAATAGCCGGGACCTATGGCTCATCCCTCCACATTCACCTTTGACCTCTCAGGATTTTGGTATTTTGGATAACATATGCAATGCAATCTTTTTGCTCCTGAGTTGAAACTCAGAAGCTCAGTTTCAGGAACACCTGTTCTTTATAAACAGGGAGGACTTTGGGTCACCCAGGACCAGTGACAACAGTGTAGAGTGCTCATGAGCAACAGGGAGGCAGAACAGAAGAGAGAGCACCAATTTTATACACCTGCACACCTTTGAACACTTGGAGATACCAAAAAGAATTTAGGAAGGAATGTATAGACCACCAGATGACTAGGAGCAATCACAGAGGTATGAGAAATATGAGCAACCATCAAAATGTCTCTCCCCCAAGAGAAAACATCAATTCCATATCACCAAAAGACAACACAATGGAAGTCAAGGAAATGTCAGATAATCTGTTTAGAATATTTGAAGTAACCAAACTAAAAGAGATGCAAGACAAAAGAGACAACGAGCTCTAGGTGAAGAGGAAGTCCTTTCACAATTTGAAAGAAAAAATAGGCACCACAGAAAAGAATCAAACAGAATTGTTACAGATGAAGAATGTGATACAGAAATGTAAAGCCTCCCTCAAAAGTATTAAAAGTAGATTAGATGATGCAGAAGACTGACTTTCAAATGAAGAAGACAAAATCTCTGACCTAGGAAAAAGTATCAAAAAGACTGAGAAAACAACCAAGAAAAATGAGTATAATATATGAGAGATACTAGATACCACCAAGCACCCCAATATCTAAATAATAGGTGTCCTACAAGAGAAAGAAAATAATGAGGGAATTGATAATTTATTTCATGAAATCCTGGAAGAAAACTTCCCAAACCTAGAGAGGCATTCAAATATCCAGACATAAGAAATACCCCAAATAGGGTACCAGCAGTTAGCGTAATGGCTATGTCACTGGACTCCCATGTAGTCGACCGTGGTTCACATCCCGGACCTGGTGGCTTAAAACTCATGCCGGGCGCGTGTGCGTGCATGCCCAAGATCCTGAGAGGAGAATGGAGCAGAAGAGACTGCAGCGTGGCCATCTCCCCTGGGGGGGAGGGTGATTTCTCGCTTTCTGTCTCTCTGTCTCTCTCTGTCTGTCTGGCAAGCACATGCGCCCTATAGCAAACACCTCTCAAAAAAAAAAAGAAAAAGAAATACCCCAAATAGAATCAACCAAAAAGATCCCCTCCAAGATAGATCATAACCAGACTGGTCAAAACCACAGACAATGACAAAATTCTAAAGTTGGCAAGAAAGAAATGTCAAATCACTTACAAAGATTATTCCATCAGGTTAACATTGAACCTCTCATCAGAAACAATGGAGGCAAGGAAAGGATGGGGAATATAGGCAAAGTGTTAATCAAAAAACAATTTTGACCAAGAATACTATACCTGGCAAGAATATCCTTCATATGGGAAAAAAATATGAAAACATTCTCAGATAAACAAAACCTGAAAGAATTCACCAACTCCAGACAAGAGGTTCTGAAGGGAGTGCTATACCAGGAAAACTAAAAAGTCAGATGGATGGTTATAAAAGAACAAAAACCAACCAAGAAAATGGCTACCTTAATGACAGGAACAGGTCTGGAAAGATTGATAATAACATTGAATGTTAATGGATTAATTCTTCAATCAAGAGACAGACTGGCTGAATGGATTTAAAAATAAATAAATAAACAGAAACCCTCTACCTGTTGCATATAAGAAATGCACCTTGTGGATAAAGATATACGTAGACTAAAGTGAAGGGCTGGGAAAGATATTCCCTGAAAATGGAAATCAAAAAAAGCCTGGGGTTGAGAGCTGATTTCAGACAAAATAGGCTTCAAGACAAAGACTATAAGAAGAGACAAGGGCAGTATATAATAGTAAATGGCTTAGTTCAGAGAAAACATAATGCTTGTAAATATCTACGCACCCAACTTGGGAGCACTTAAATATGTGAAGGAAAGACTGCTGGAGCTAAAAGGAGAGATAGGGTGGAACACTGTAATTGTTGAGGACCTCAACACCCCATTATCTCCTTTACACACATCTTCTAGGGAAAAATACAGGAGAAATACAGGACCTAGCCTTTTGGCCAGAACCACCATCTTCCAGTAATTAACCAAAATGATGAACACAAAGGGAAAG